ATGCTTGTGGTTACCATTGTTGTAGCTGGAAAGTACAGTAAGTACTAATGCAAAGTTCAGGTTAAGAAATCAATAGAATGTGCAATCAAATGTAGCCCTAACAGCATGAGTTTTGTTGTTTAAAACAGCCAGGTTTAATGATTAATTCAGAGAGTTTTGCTTGTTTACCATGTCTTTTACAAACGGGGTTATGCTTGTCTATAATGTGTTTAATCTTATTTTTGTCACTGGCAGTTCCTGATGTCTGCAGGATGAGAGCGTTGCATGGATTTCATGATTTTTGATACAGAAGAAGTTGTGAGATGTTTGATGGGCAGCAGATATCTTTGCACAGTCATTTTCATGCTGCTCTAAAATGCCAGGTCATTTAAAGCAAAAGAACAGCAACAAGCCTCATCTATCGACTGACAAGCTGACAAGTGGCTGTTAAACCCAGTTGAACTATTGACATGGAGTTGCAGCACCAAGGTGATGAGTAAGGATCTAACTGCTGATGATGGAAACAAACACATAAATGAGTCATCCACTGAGGGGAGGCCAGGTCTCAAAATGTCAAATCTTCCAACATTGTAAGTGTAATTAGGCACTGAGGGTTTTTTGTGGCAGTTGACAGATGGACGTCAGATGTTGCAGCCATAATATAAAACTACATTTCTACCAGGACCGACAAAGACTCATGCAGAACAAGTGTGGGTTGGTTTCCATGGTGAGCAAAGCCAATTCTCATCTAGCACAAACTGAGCTACTCTTCACACTCGCAGCGTTAATGGAAATATCTCTTTACCTTGACCCTATATGCAACACTAGCTCATTAAACACCTCCAATGTGAGTCAGAAATTAGATGATTACTATCTTGCCTTATTTTATCATCTCAACAGAAGACAGATGTCAGAATGAGCAGCAAAGTGTAATGGCCCCTGTCTGGCGCGCATGATTGTTGCTTCTTTGAAAAAAAAAAGACACAGCAGGCCTCTTTCATTTGCTCCACAATGAGACTCATTCTCAGAATATATAGCGAGGTAATTGAGCGATGAATTACTTTTTGCATCAGCACCACTCAATGACACTGATTCTGATGTAGTAATATATTATCTCCCCCTTTGTGGTAATTTATTCCCAAAACGATACCCAATGGAAAATGAACATTCTATTCTTTTATCAGACCTGAAAACGACGACTCCCCAAGAACGATGCTTTTTTTTCCTTATCTATCAAACTGTGTGAGGGTCAGGCTGCAGAAAGGAGACTGTGCTTTTTCAATATGTAAAGTCATGTCTCCGAGTTCGACTTGTGAGTGCTGTCATTCCCTACAGAGAAGAGATAAATGAGTTTCACATCAAGTAATGCAATCAGCCATGGTTAAACACATTCTCCAAAAAGTTGATTATATCTGCTGTAATTGAGTAGACACCCCTACCTAGGATTATAATGGCGATAAATGAAGATAGATGGAGAAATAGATCTCTAAATGGAGGATAATTTAAAAGCGAGAAAACCAGAACATGCGTGGAACATTCCTAATGGAAAAAAGATCCCAGTCTGCAAGAAAACAAGAGGACAATCTTTACTTCAGACTTTAAAACCTCTAACAAAGTGTGACAATCTCAATCAAACCCAAAGGAGTTTGGCAGAGAAGAGTAGGCAGCTACAAAGACCAGAAGGCAAGGCGAGGGCATGATTTCCTTAAGTGCAATTTCACAGTAATGACACAGACAAACTATGTATTAAAAATCAACAGGTGTGATTAGGTTGAGGTGCCAAGTTACAATATTTACTGAGCTACTGCAAAACAACTACTCAACTTTACTTTCTAAAAAGGTTACAGAATAGAGCTAAGGACTGGGGTAAGACAATAACAGAATATTCATTCATTACTACCTGAAAATATATTAATCCAAGCTCCACTTAGAAGCTTGGCTTGCTCAGTTTTGACGGAGTTGGTTGAGTTGCCACTATGAGAGACACAAAGTCAAGAAACAGCTGTGACATGGCCCTAGTCTGTTAAACCAAGGATAAAAAAACAAACCTTCACATTCACTCTTTACCATAAATTGATACTTCTCTTGAGATTAAACCTTTATAGAAACTCTTTGCTCATTTCTAATTTATAACATGTTTATATTTACTGTACACAAATGCAAAACATGACTTTTGAGTATGAATAATGTACATGTTTATAGATAAATAACATAAAATGAACAAATGCTGAGCAAATAATCCAGTGTACTCGTGTAAAGGAACAGTTTGACAATTTGCAAAGTTTGCTTTTTAGCAACCATGCAGAGATTTAGAAGTAAGAAGAGAAGACTGATGCCACTCTTATGTCTGAGTGGTAAAGATGAAACTAGAGCCAGCAGCTGTTTAGTGTCGCTTAGCATAAACACTGGATATAGGGAAACAGCTAGCCAGGTACTGTCAAAAAAAAAAAACTGCGAATGAGCACCTGAAACTGGTCCGGTTTGAATGTTATCACACCGTTAACAGTTGGTTACCATGCCCATAATTATGCTTCAGCAGGGTCTAGAGCTTGAATACCCAGACCTAGCACAATGGCACTCGTCGGTACCCAGCGGTTCGGGTTGGGTTTGAACATGTAGGCTTGACGGCTGGACCACTCAAATGTCAACTTTTTTTTAATAATGAAGGAAAAAACATTATACAAACTCAAGCGCATCAGGCTTGGGTCGGGTTCAGACATTATATAGTACAAGCTTGTTGGGTCCGGGTCAGGTTGGACGCCACACTCTCAGTCACAGGTTGGGTTCGGACAAAAATATGGGGGCCATGCTCTAGTAGGGTCAAACACCGATAGGCCAGAAGGCGCAAACTCTATCACTTATCTGTTAGAATTATGTGCAAATGTAACAATAACCAGTAGCAAAAGTCACTGTTGGTGATTTGGTATAAAGAGTGACAAAGTTGGGATAAATGGGTGGGATGACAACATCAGGTTTCAAGTGGAAGACGTGGCTCATTTTCAGCTTCACTTATTTAAACATGAACCATAATAATCACCTTTATTCGGCCAAGTATGTTACACACAAGGAATTTGCTTCTGGTACAGAACCGAGGCAGCCATCTGCGACGCCAACTCAACCGATGGCTCTAACCATCAGGGTCAATTTGGGGGTTCAGTGTCATGCCCAAGGACACTTCGACATGTGGATTGCAGGCACCGAGATTTGAACCTCCGATCCTCGGGTTAGGAGACGACTGCTGTACCCACTGAACCACAGTCGGCCCTAATCTTTTACCAAGCCTAACCATGTAGTTTTTTTTTCCCCCTGAAATTGGTTCATTTCTTCTTTATTATAAAGTAGTAACCATGAGGACAAGGTTTAGCACGTGATAACAGACAACTGTGCCAACTAGGAGGTGGATCAGGGTCCTGTTAACCTACAATTATGGTCCTGATGACAAGCTAAGAATGGTCATTTTAGTGGAGTGCTCTAACATTCACTATGTAACATGTTATACCTTGCTTGATTAAAGTTGGTTGGCAGCAACAGATTTAGGTTTTACAGAGGTTTAGTGCCTGATTATTTCTTTGCTGGGCACACTGGCTGGAGATCTGTCATCACCATCATGTTTCCAGGCAACCAGCAAAGACTTTCAGCAGGTTAGTTCAATTTTTGTTCAGATTCAAGAAAACGAGATTTCACATGTTAGTTAGTGAGCGTTAGAGGCGCTGGTAGGCATCTAGCAAGACGGAAACAACCACTAGAAATTAAATCACACCCTGAGTTTTTGAGTGTTAACACTGGTACCCTCATATTTTTCTTTCATTATATTTTATGCTGTAAATACTAAACATAAGGAAATATGCTTAATATGGTGGCCCTGCCAGAGGGGCACCACTGCTCCCCAGTCCAACAAGGTGCACTGTACTTAACCTTTTTCATAAAAGTGGTGTCACACTAGCATTTTTCATGAGATAGGCAGCCAGGTGAATTCAGGAGGAAGCCTCTACTTTAGTTAAGATATTATATACACTAAAGTCACAAAGGTATGACAATAAGAGAGATAAGGATTTCTAAGCCTTGAGACAACGGACAGAAGACGACTGCAACAAAAAAGGGCTGAGACTCCAGCGTAGGAAGTTCTAGTATTTTGTACACTCAGGATACATCTCACTGCATTTGGATGTAAACTTCAACCTGCCCACTGAATTCAATATAGAAACCAGTGATGGAGGACGTAGTGAAATATCGAAACAGGCAAAGCCAGTCTAGCTGAGGAATAGGAGTTAAGATGTGCAACCCATATATGCTAGGAATTTTTATGTTTGGTTGAAATGGGTTTAAAAATGTGCATTCGCAATATGCTGGTATCTGACAGACTGATACCAGTTACCACTCCAACTTTATCATCACGTCTACACAGAGTAAACAGACACTAACAGGTGGCCGACGGGGAAGTAAGGTGAAATGCACGACTGTCTTGGCACTCCTTCAAAAGAAGATGAAATATTTTCAGGCAACAATATATAACAGAGAAAGCACTATTGATTTATGGCAGATTTTCTTTTTTGGGTACTTATTACACACATTAATCACTATACATGATAACCTTCCCCCTCAGTTGCGGGGGGTCGTCAACTAAAGCTTTCAGTATAATTATATTCTATTCAGTCCGAATGCGAGATTTTGCCATCTATTATAGTAGGCTGTTATAGCAAACTGGAATCACTGAAAACATTGGGATATTACAAAACAAAGAGGACATAATACGGTTATTTTAAGTGGTTTCAAAACTAAAACCTATCCCACATCACATGGAATGAAAGAGTGGTATGTCTGGCTCATCCTTCGTAACTAGAGGTGACAGAATCTTCACTCTGGATGTCTCCTATCAGACCGGCAATTTTCCTGTTCACAGTCTACACTTTGCTTTTAACTCTGTTGTTTCCTCTGTAGACTGTGCCTTAAAGGATAAGGCCAGTCATTTTCTATATTGATAGGATTTTCAGCAATCTCCATACAGAGACTAAAACCGACAATGACTTGCCTCTACACATTATTAATGTCTGTTAGTCTGTGCAATAGATCACTGTTGTTGTTCAAAAACAAATAAAACCACATCAACACAACACTGCACCAGGTGACCCATTTTTCCATTACAAAACCCCAGACCTGACTATGGTGTCCCAGAGTCTCAGAGTGGCCATTATTTCCTGAAGTGAGCGCAAGTCAAAGTCAACTTCTCATGTACGAGATCTCGCATGATCTCTCAGCTTTGTTTACACTCCGCTAGCTCCTCACAGCCAAGACTGGAATTTACTAATGAAGAACTATGTCACCCAGTGCAGCGGTGTGTTTCACGGATGTGTTTTTAATCATTTTGGAACAACACCAGAGGTCTGCAGCACAGATGAATAAGCTGATCCAGGACCAACAGCTCACAGACATTTACCATGAGCAGAGGCAATTCATCGTTGGTCTTAGTCTCTGTATGAGGAGTGTTGAAAATACTGTTAATATAGAAAATGGCCGGCCTTATCCTGTAACATTTGTTTCCATCCTATATCCACTACATTATTTTTAGTCTGCATTTTATTTATTATAGTCTTTTGCTAGTCATGGTCTGTAAAACACTTTGTAGCTATTGTTTTGAAAAGAGCTGTACAAATAAATTAGGTGTCGACACTCCATCATTACAAAGGTTACTAGTTTCAAGGATGATTTGACAGCTTCACCAAGCAGCTAACTTTACACACTGATACACAAAGACAGGACAAGACTCCGTTGCTAAAGGGACTTCGGGAGAATGTGAGATGAAAGACAAAGAAGCAGAACAGCAATATGTTGATATGTCTTTGAGTTTCATGTCACCGCATTTGACTAGGCCTAACATCCTCTGTCCAGCGAATACCCCTGTGTTAATCAGTTTTCTTCTCTTCAGGATTCTTCTGTCCAACCTCCACTTCCTCATTCCCTCCTTCTTCAGGGCCCTCCAGCTCAGCAACGTGTTGCCTCTCCTCCTCCTCTTCCTCCTCTTCGTCAGTCATGCCCTCCCTCTTGTCTTCCGAACCGTCAGCCGACTCAGCTGTGCAGATGCCATAGCACATCAGGCTAATTACACCCAGCGGTAGGCCGAACAGGAAGCAGCCCAGCAGTGGAGAGCTCCGAAACACTGACTGATATAGGAAAGACGACGACAGAAGATGAAAGTGTGTGAGAGCAAGAATATGGAGACAAAAGTGAAGTTTGAATGAGAAGAGAAAAATATAACAATACCAGAAAAATTAGGACGAGAAAGGACAGAAGAGACATAACAATATATGACCATAGTTTACAATTCAGTATTCTGCATGTTCTCCCTGTGCCTGCGTGGGTTCTCTCCGGCTTCCTCCCACAGTCCAAAGACATGCAGCTTAGGTTGACTGGCAACTCTAAATTGCCCATAGGAGTGGGTGTAAGTGGGTGTGGTTGTTTGTCTACATGCCAGCCCTGTGACAGACTGGCGACCTGTGCAGGGTGGACCCTGCCTTTTGCCCAGTGTCAGCTGGGATTGGTTCCAGCCCCCCATTACCCTATTCAGGAATAAGCTGTATAGATAAAGGATGGATGGAGGTTTTAGTTTGGCTCATGTAACATCTGCTAACATGTAGGAGGCAGATTTTATGACCTATACTGCAACCAGCCACCAGGGGGCAATTAAGTTTTGGTGGCTTCACTTCTGGGGGCTCTTACTGTCAGGTCCGCTCGGCGCGACCTGCCTCTCTTCTGCCTTTCTCTCTCCTGCTCGCTCTTTTTGCAGGATCAGCGCCTCAGCTGTGTCGCTTTTTGTAATTAGTGACTTGTGGGTTGTCACGCACAGCTGGGGCGCATTACTGTAATCACCTTCCTCATTTAAACCTCTGGCAGATGCTCCGCCATCGCCGGAGCATTAGCAACTGTAACTAACAGTAACTCGCATACCCCATGACAGACCTTTGTTCGTGGTATGTATTGTACGTCATTTTGTTTTCCACACTGACAGTTCCTGTGCTGTGGATCTCTTTATGTTTTTCCCATTAGGTTAGCTAGACGTTCTTTTTGGTATCCACGCTGACAGTTCCTGTGCTGTGGATTTCCTTTTTCGTTAGCTAATCCTCCTGGGTAGTTTTTTTTTTTTTTTTTTCTTCGCCTGTCCATCCTCATCCTCACTCCTGTTTTTTTCCATTAGCCTGTTTACTCCCCTGGTCATCCTGTTCTCCCTAGCCGTATTTGTTCAGCCCTGGTTGTATGTGTTCCTCAACTCTGTTCCTTTTTTCGTGTTTCCCACCATTAAAACCTGGGTCAGCAATCTTGAGTCCTGCCTCAGTTCTCCCTCACCCTCCTGGTGAGGGGGACTAAATCATAACACTTGGCCTGTCCATCATTTTACAGTCAATAGTACTGACACTTCGGTGTCACTACAATGAGATGGTAAGTTAAACCAAAATCTAGTCTTAATACCTTTACTATTTCATTAATACTTTGCTTGGTGGCTCACCCCTATCACTATGTATGTGTAAGTATCCATTTAAAGTCCTGTTAGGTAAAATCAAATCATTCCAACACAATCAGAACGCCCACTCAAGGAGGTGAAACTAATCCACTTCCAATTGTAATCAGTTTTGACAGCGCCGACGTTTAAGGGGACGGAGAGCATCCAAAGTGGAGAAGATTATCACAGATTATTAGCTGTCATACCATTCATTTTAACCACCACTGTTGAGGTAAAAACCGTTCAACAACAACAAAAAAAAAGCAAACAGTCAAATACATTTGAATAAACTGTGTGAACTTAATGTTCCTTTACTGACTGAATCAAATTCACTGGTTTGATTCCTGACTGTTAGCAAGCTTGTTAGCTTAGACAGCTTTATTTTCCTCTCTTTTACTGAATAAAATTGTGAGCACAAAACACCAAAGGGGAAGTAAACAAAACAGCTGAGAGAAAACAAAGAAGTCTGGGACTTATTGACTGATGAGTTTAGTTAGTAGTTCACCAACCAGCCCTGTGAGCTCATCACTGTGTCACCATTTTTGTGAACAAGTGGATGTCACTTTGTGACTGTAAGAACTGAGATACTTATTTCTGCGCATTTACTTTACTTTGATGAATGTGGGCGGGAATGGTGTGGGTGACACTGATGCAAAAGTCGATGTAAAGCAACTGACAGAACTAACTAAATCTGGATATTTCTTTGATTGCCATGAAAAGACTGCACTGAGCGACCACTACTGCAACATCCATGAAGTAACTCTCTGATGACTATTTAGGATAAAACAATGAGTAAAACATGACTATAATGCCAGGCTACATCAGTGAAGAAAAACAAAATGTCAGTTCAGTCTGATCACAAACAACCATTAACAGGAGCACTGGTTAGTGTATGGCTCTCTAAAAATCTGACGTACACTGTGAATAATGAGCATTTACAGGAAACAGGACACAAACAGAGGTTCACTGACACTGGGAAGAACTGGGGGTCAACAGCTCTAATGGGTGAATTTCCTTATTTCTTAAGGGCACACATAACACACCAAAAATTCACCCCAGCTTCTATCAGTCCTCTCAGAGCTGGCTCAGCTGTTCTGGAGAGAGAATCTGACTATTTAACAGGCAGTGCTTACAGCAGCATAGAGCCTCCCATCAGCTATTATAGAGTGAAAGTGAAAATCCTGTTTAGAGGGCAGATCAAAAAATATTTGTGGGAAAGTCGCAGACAGGCTTTTAGCAGAACTTCTGCATTTTTATTTGTTCATTTGCATTACTCCATTAAGCTCAGCCAGTGTGCTTAGAAGCAAGTGACAAGTCATTAGCACAAACTTGGACGGGCTTTAAATTTTTGTATTAATTAAAGACGTAGTTTTGGGATGTCATAGTCCTGTTAAACTGTCTGTGCTGTCTTGATTGTTTTTTTGTTTTGCACTGATGAGCATACTGGAGAGTTTTATCCTTTTATCTACAATCCTCTGGGGCTTTTGTTCTTTCTCTGTACAATTTGAACTGAAACACAAGATCCACCTTTATACACTAGTCCATCTGAAGAAGCGCATTCTTTCTACCTTCACTGACGATTACAGGCTCACCTCCCATGCCCACATGCGCACACAGGAAATCAACCACAAATGTGTGCAAATGCTGCATTCATATACTGTATCCATCCATCCATCCATTTTCCTCCGCTTATCCGGGGCTGGATCGTGGGGGCAGCAGTCCAAGCAAAGATGCCCAGACTTCCCTCTCTCCTGACACTTCCTCCAGCTCCTCCGGGGGAATGCCGAGGCGTTCC